CAACAGGTTAAAATTAGTGATGCCTCACATAATTAGTGAAACACAATCAGCTTTTTTATCTGGTAGGAATATTTTGGATGGGGTGTTAATTGCTAATGAGGTCGTAGAGGGGTGGAAAAAGGCCAAGAAGAAGGGGATAATTATAAAGTTGGATTTTGAGAAGGCATACGACTTCATCAATTGGGGCTTTTTGTTCTCTATGATCTCTAAGTTTGGATTTGCTGCTAAATGGTCTAGCTGGGTGAAGGAGTGTGTAACCTCTGCTAGGGTTTCTGTGCTTGTCAATGGGTCTCCAACTGAGGAGTTCAGCCCACAAAGGAGGTTAAGGCAAGGTGATCCCTTGTCCCCTTTCTTGTTTATTATAGCTGCAGAAGGTTTGCATATTTTATTATCCAGAGCCCAAGATTTAGGAATGATCAAGGGAGTGAAAGTGGGCTCAAATTGGGGTAATCCTATCTCACCTTCAATTTGCAGATGATGCAATTTTATTTTGTGAAGCAGCTATAGAAGAGGTGAGACACGTGAAAAGAGTGCTGAGATGCTTTGAATTAATGTCAGGGTTAAAAATTAATTACCACAAAAGTGTTGTGTGTGGGGTGGGGGTTTCAGATGAAACAATGCTCAGTTGTGTTTCAGTGCTGAATTGTAAGATGAAATCTCTGCCACTCACTTATATATACCTTCTGAGCCCCATATCCACTCCCAGTCATCTCCTGACACGTGGCTCTGCTATCTCATCTGTCAGCATAAACCATGCCATTCACCACCTAACCTCAACTGCTTGACTTCACAGCTGGAGCTCGGCAGCCGAGCTGTTCTACCTCGGCCATGTCATGCTTCAAACCCATGCGCCTAGCCAGACAAACACATGAAGGACCGGGCTAGGCGGCATCTCGGCAAAGCCTAGCCCGGGCGCCTCCTTTGGTTGGCCTTCTTGCCGGTCAATCAACTACCTCGGCTGATCGCGCCTTTCCGGGCGCCGGTCTCCCGGTCTGTCTGGTTTCGACCATCCTCGGACCGAGCATCCTGGTCTGACCGGTCACTTCCTGGCCGAGCGGTTTCTGTACGGTCCGGGGTGGCACACACACTCAGTCCAACTCTGCGCGGCCCAAATTCTCTCAGCCCATTTCCGGGCGGATAGTTGATCAGCTCGGCCCCATACACCGTTGGGCCCTCAACCTGCTCGGCCGTCACCTCGGCCCAACCCCAGATCATAAATTACCCTCTCAATTATATTATTATTTCTTTCTTATTTTCATTTAATTTAAATATTTTGTTAATCAATATGATTTTTTTAAGTTTTCTTTAATTATAATCATTAATCTCTAATGAGCAATAATCTAACTATAATTTCTATAATAGAAAGCATACATATTTTGAAATTATCACTTTATTTTTAATTAACAAATGAAACTATAATTATTATTTGTGAGTGATAATTTTTCCAAATCTATTATTATCTATATATTGACGCAAAATACCTTTTTGTCCAAAATATTTTAAGAGCTTCAAAATATTAATTTCAGTTTATAAAAATTAGTAAATATATATTGCATAAAATTATTAACTCATCCAAACATATCTAATTTAAATTTTTTTTTTAAAAAAAATTAGATGAAACTTTATATGTAAGTCAAATCTAATTTAAGCAATAATTGATAGATTCTGGAGTTCAAATTTAAAGTTTAAGAAGAATATGAGAAAAAATAGTTTATTCTATGACAAAAATGCATTTTTCATAAGAAAAATATTTTAGAAACAATCTATGCGTGGTAATATACATTTTCTTGCTGAAATTTTAGCTGTTTAAATTTGTAATATTTAAAAATAATGTTCAAAATAAAATTTTAATAATTTATGTTGACCATATTTGATATCATATTGAGGGAAATGGAAGGAGCTAAGCAAGGGGGGTGGATTCCTATTGTGAGACAAAGGGGAGGACATCGTAGAGGACAAAGAAGAGGAGTGATTGAGGGACGCACAAGCTTCTTCACTGTATTTGTGGATAATATACCAAGATCAGAGAATTCGAAGGGGCTGTATAACATCTTCTCTAAGTTTGGTGTGGTGACTGATGTTTTTATTCCGCAAAAGAGAAGGAAGCTCACCAACACAAGATTTGGGTTTGTAAGGTTTGACTACTCTGTAGCTACAACAGTAGCTGTTCAAAAAGCAAATGGATTATGGGTGGACAATAAGGCAATAGAGGTGAAGCATGCAGCTTTTGGCAAGGAAAAGGTAGAGGGACAAGGTGTAACAGGCCCATTGCGTCTTCAAGCAACAAGATACAATGGCTACCAAAAGGAAGGAAGAAGCAGGGTTGAAGTATTTACAGTCCAAAAGTCATATACAGAAGCAGTGGTAAGACAAAGTAATGCTCAGAATGACAGCCTTACTCTGAAGGTTGAGGAAATAGGGAATGGGTGGCTGTATGAAAGTGTAGTGGTTCACTTGAAGGATGAGCACGCAAATGTCAACCTGAAGAAGGAACTTCAAGGAATAGGTATGGAAGGTGTGCTGATCTGTGAGAGTGGAGGCCGCGATGTGGTTCTAACATTTAAGACAAAGGAGGAGAAGGTATTAAAAATACAACCTATTAAGGAGCTGATTTTGGAGTGGTGCGAGGCTATTTTGGAAGGAAAAGATGGACTGGTTCTGGAATAGGTGTGTGGATCAGCTGCTATGGTATCCCATTAAACTTATGGAACAATACAAATCTGAGGAAAATCGGTGGGTTGTGGGGAAATTTTTTATGCTTTGAAGATGATAGTGACCATCCTAAGTCCTTTGCGTGTGCCAAGCTTAAGATCTCTACCAAATGCGTGGAACCAATCAATAAAGTTATTAAGTTGGAGTGCAAAGGTCTTCTGTATCCAGTAAGAGTGTGTGAAGAACAATTGGTGATGGTAAAAACTATGAATATTGTGTGCAAGTGCCAGAAGGTCCAAATGCAGGATGAGAAGTGTAGCTCAAATGAACCAATGATACAGGGCCTAGGTAGGAGCAACAATGAGGAGGATGACATGTAGGATGACTCAAACTATGCACTGGCCCCTAGAGATGAAGAGATTATAGGTTGTAAGGCACGCGGAGAGAGCATGAGTATATAGGTGGAGCAAGTGTGGGGTGGGAAATGTGATACAGTAGTTGCAGAGTTTAGTGGTGGCGTGAGGGTGGAGACTACTGGAGAGGCATGCAAGGTCATGATGGGTGTTGGAAACCAAGAAAATGGCTCTACTGTGGACTCTAGCAAATGTCAGAACATTGTTGACCATGTCCTCACACCAATCTTTGTTAGAAGCTTCAGTGGGCCAAGTCTCAATAGGCCTGGGATAGAAATTGAAGTGGTTTTGGGCCATAATCAGAGGTTATATAAAGGACATGGGCTGATCCAAGAGAACCAAGTCCAACCTGGGCATACAGGCCACGTTGCTGCCACTATTGAAGGTTGTGGTGCTCTTGGGTTAGCTGAAAGAGAATCAAGTGTGTCTGAAGCCCAGGAGCTGGAGCGTAAATCTCAACCTGTAAAAAATAAGAAGGGTATGAAGAAGGTTAAAACTACTCCAGCTATCTGCTATCAGTATCCAACTAAGGGCTCTCTTAGTCTACTTAGGAAGCATGCCCAAAGAGGGGCTTCAACTAGTAAGGCAGCCTCAAAGGCTGCAGTTCGGAGAACAACAATACTAGCAGTCTCCCTATCAACCTCTACCAATAATGGGGTTGATCAAGGGAGACTTTTACTGGAAGAAGCCCAAGCAACTATGGAAATGGGGGAAATTTTGGGCGTGAAGTACAATATGAAGGAGGATGTTGTGATAAAGAAAATAATTGAGCTCGAGGTAAAGGATCAAGGTAGAATTGATAGGGCAGCTTCAGCTGGGATATGAAGTATATCTGCTGGGGGGCTGTAGAGGTGTATGTATGTGTTGTTATGAAGATATTATCGTGGAACATCAAAGGGCAGGGGAAGAAAATGAAGCAAAGCAAGCTTAAGAAGCTCTTTCAGAAAAGAAATGTGGATATGGTGCTCCTCCAAGAAACAAAAAAATCAGAAATCTCTAAAGTAGAAATAAAATCCATGTGGGTGAGAGATAAAGTAGAGCTTTTGGCTGTGGATTCGGAAGGCTCAGCTGGTGGTTTACTTTGTGTCTGGGATCTAGATGTTTTTCCAATTTCAGAAAGCTGCAGCAACAAGAGATTTCTCCTTCTGTCAGGTACATTTTTTCATTCTTTTGAGTGTGTTATTTTAAACATCTATGCACCTAATGATGTAGGCTTAAGAGGAAAGCTATGGAAATGTTTAGTAAAGCTGAAGGAGGAATTCCCTAAGCCTTTGTGCATGGGTGGGGACTTCAATGAGATCAGAAACATTGGTGAAAGAAAAGGGTGTTCAAGAAGGGATAAAGGCATGAGGGAATTGAATGGGTTCATTGATAAATGCGAAGTATCTGATCTACCTTTGCTAGGAAGGAAGTATACCTGGTGCAATTCATGTGAAGGTGAAAAGTGGAGTCGAATTGACAGAGTTTTAGTAGACCCGAAATGGTTAGAGTCTTTCAAGTTAAAATTATGGGGACTGCCAAGGTTACTGTCTGATCACAGTCCTCTTCTACTAATAGAGGATGAAAGGGACTGGGGCCCTAAACCCTTCAGGGTCCAGAATGCATGGTTCCTACACAAAAACCTTCACTATTTTTGGGAAAACAGTTGGAAAGAGGCCAGAATAGAAGGCTGGGCTTGGTTTATTTTGTTAAATAAATTGAAGACTTTGAAGGCAGGCCTAAAAAAATGGAATGTGGAGGTCTTTGGTAATGTAATCAATAATCTAAAAGCAGCTGAGAGTGAACTGCACAATTTTGATCTTGTTGCTAAGAATAGAGATCTTGATGAATCTGAAAAAACAAGAAGAAGAGAGGTTAGAGGAGAAGTGTGGAGGTTGAGTAAGATGGTGGAGAGACTATGGTTTCAAAAGTCAAGATTAAATTGGGCTTTAAATGGAGACAAGAATACAAGATTTTTTCATGTCATGACTAAATGTAGACAAATGAGGAATGAAATCAATTCAATTACAGAGGGGGAGGTGATGTATGAGGTCCCCTGTCAAGTGAAGAAAAGAGTGTTTGAGTTCTTCAAAACTCATTTTTCTGAGGACAGGGTAGAGAGACCTGAATTAGGAGGCTCATTCAAATCAGTGCAAGGGTGTTGTGGTTTTGAAAGGCTGGAGGAAGTGTTCTCAGAAGCTGAAATTAAATCTGCAGTGATGGACTGTGATGGCAAGAAAGCACCAGGGCCATATGGTTTTAATATGGGGGTGTTTCCAGAAATTCTGGAATGTGATAAAGAGTGAAGTCGTTAATTTTGTGAATGAATTTCATAAGAATGGAAGGCTGGTAAAGGGTATAAATAGCTCCTTTATAACCCTGGTACCCAAAAAGGAGAATCCCCAAGGGCTAGCAGATTATAGGCCCATAAGCTTGGTGGGGTCAAGCTATACGATCATAGTGAAGCTATTGGCTCACAAGTTAAAATTAGTGATGCCTCACATAATTAGTGAAACACAGTCAGCTTTTTTATTTGGTAGGAATATTTTGGATGGGGTGTTAATTGCTAATGAGGTCGTAGAGGGGTGGAAAAAGGCTAAGAAGAAGGGGATAATTATAAAGTTGGATTTTGAGAAGGCATACGACTTCATCAATTGGGGCTTTTTGTTCTCTATGATCTCTAAGTTTGGATTTGCTGCTAAATGGTCTAGCTGGGTGAAGGAGTGTGTAACCTCTGCTAGGGTTTCTGTGCTTGTCAATGGGTCTCCAACTGAGGAGTTCAGCCCACAAAGGAGGTTAAGGCAAGGTGATCCCTTGTCCCCTTTCTTGTTTATTATAGCTGCAGAAGGTTTGCATATTTTATTATCCAGAGCCCAAGATTTAGGAATGATCAAGGGAGTGAAAGTGGGCTCAAATTGGGGTAATCCTATCTCACCTTCAATTTGCAGATGATGCAATTTTATTTTGTGAAGCAGCTATAGAAGAGGTGAGACACGTGAAAAGAGTGCTGAGATGCTTTGAATTAATGTCAGGGTTAAAAATTAATTACCACAAAAGTGTTGTGTGTGGGGTGGGGGTTTCAGATGAAACAATGCTCAGTTGTGTTTCAGTGCTGAATTGTAAGATGAAATCTCTGCCACTCACTTACCTTGGGTTACCCCTTGGGGCTAATCCTAAGAAGAAATCCACATGGAAACCTGTGTTGGATAAAGTCAGAGGTAGGCTGGCTCGGTGGAAAAGAAAGTTGTTGTCCTTTGCGGGGAGGTTGACACTTGTTAAAGCTGTGACATCCTCACTACTAGTGTATTATCTGTCCCTGTTTAGATTACCTGAAGGGGTTGCTAAAGAATTTGAGAGGCTTCAAGCTTCATTTCTGTGGGGTGGTTCAACTCTAAGGAGAAAGATTCCCATGGTTCGTTGGGAGGAACTATGTAAAAGTGTGGAGCAAGGATCCTTTGCGGGGAGGTTGACACTTGTTAAACCTGTGACATCCTCACTACCAGTGTATTATCTGTCCCTGTTTAGATTACCTGAAGGGGTTGCTAAAGAATTTGAGAGGCTTCAAGCTTCATTTCTGTGGGGTGGTTCAACTCTAAGGAGAAAGATTCCCATGGTTCGTTGGGAGGAACTATGTAAAAGTGTGGAGCAAGGAGGGCTAGGCATTAGAAAGGTGCGTGATGTTAATAAGTGCTTATTGTTAAAATGGTGATGGAGGTTTGGCTGTGAATCTGGAGCTCTGTGGAAGAAGATTATCTGCAGCAGATATAAATTGGAGGATGGTAGCTGGCTGCCATCCCTTGTTGCTAGTAATAACTATTCAGTTGTATGGAGAGGAATCATAGCAATTGATGATTAGTCCACCAGTTTACAAGAGATCTATTTAAATAATTACCAGTTGAAGGTTGGTGATGGAAGAAGAATTATTTTTTGGACGGATAAATGGTGTAATCACCTCTCCTTTAAAGATAAGTTTCCTGGCCTTTATAGGTTATCCTCAGAGAAAAGTGCTACATTGAAAGATATTGTTGACAAGAAAGATGCATTAGGTGTGTTGAACCTAGCTTTCAGAAGAGAGTTGTATGACTGGGAGGAGGCTCAGTTGCAAAATCTTCTTAACCAGTTAGCAGTAGGTCCTATGCTAAGGCCTGATCAGGTGGATAGGCCTGTTTGGTCAGCTTCTAATTCTGGTGAGTTTTCTGTAGTGTTAGGTTTTATTCTTGGCAACCTCGTTTGACAAAACTCCTTTCAGTTGTATTTGTTTTCGCACCTTTTATTTCAGTGAAGCTATAAGTGTTTAGATGTGAATCCAACCCGAATCGTGCCTTTTTCAATTTCCATGGATCAAAACCGAGGTTGTAACAGGATCTAGTTTTCCAGATTTTTCAATTTCGGTCGTCCCGCTCGAACGGGGAAAGTGACGCTCGAGCGGGGATTGCAAGCTCACAGCATCTCTGTTTTGCCTGAAAAAGTACTGGATAGTGTGATTCTCCACTCGAGCGTGGAAACGTCCGCTCGAGCGTCAAGCCTATATGAATCACACAATTTTGAAGCCTCCGCTCGAGCGGGAATTCCCATGCTCGAGCGGACCGCGCGGACACAGATTCTTGGATTTCTATAAGGAATTGGTTTTCTTCCAAAACTAGGATTACTTTAGATTTCTATAAGTAGTTGGTTTTCTCCCAAAACTTGATAAGTCCTCCGGATCTTCTTTTTGGATTCTAAGGTTTATATCTGGGGATATTTTGCTAGTTTTCTTTGATGTGTTGATTGAGTATTCAACTCATGGTTTAAAGAGAATACATCAAAGGTTTGTTTATTTATTCTACACAAAAGATAAAGAGTTATTTTTCGGTGGATTCTGAAGAATTCGAGCCTGAAGCTTTGGTGGATTCCGGAGTGGCTCATCGTCAAGACAATTCCGAGGTGAAGACGGGGTTGGAAGAGACACATAGAGGTTGGTTCAATTCGGGTGTGGATTCGCTAGGTAATTGAGAGTATACTTGTGTGATTCCTTTATATCTTCTTAGTGGATTGTTTTGTGGCTGTTGCCCATGGTTTTTTTTATCATAATTGGAGGTGTCCAATTTTGGTTTTTTCACATAAAATCGTTGTGTCGATTTGTCTTGATTATTTGATTGGGATTGTTATATACTGCTTAAAATTGATACATAATCACAAATCAATATCTAGGGGATTTCTAGATTTTTCAATTGGTATCAGAGTGGGTTGCTCATTTGTTTTTAAAACTTTTGAGCGAGATCTTGTTTGATTTGTGATAATGGATTCAATTCGTGAGGGAAATTCTATGGTTCGACCACCCCTACTTGACGGATCCAATTATTCTTTTTGGAAAGCTCGGATGAGATCGTTTTTGAAATCTATAGATGAAAAAGTTTGGCAATCTGTCATGAATAGGTGGACCGAACCAACAATTACCATTGATGGAGTAACTTTCCCCAAACCAATTCAAAAGTGGGACACAATTCATTACCAAAATAGTAGCTGGAATAGTAAAACTATCAATTCTCTTTTTTACGCTGTCACACCTGAAGAGTTTAGGCGTATTTGCAATTCTGAAGTCACAAAAGAGGTTTGGGATATCTTATAAACTATTCATGAGGGCACTCCTTCTGCTAAACGCTCAAAACTTCAAAGGCTCACGTCTAGTTTCGAAAACCTTTCAATGAAAGATAGTGAGACCTTTGATGAATTTTATGCGAAGTTGAGTGATATTGTAAATTCCAGCTTCAATTTAGGTGAAAAAAATACCAGAATCCAAAGTTGTGGGAAAAAATTTGAGATCCTTGCCCGATCGGTTCCAACCAAAAGTTATGGCTATTGAGGAGGCTCAAGATGTTGACAACCTCAAGCTGGATCAGTTGGTTGGAAATTTCTAAACTTATGAGGCAGGTAGGAATTTCAAAAAGAAACAAAAAGATATTGCTTTTAGTAGTGCTCATAGAGTTGGAGAGGATTCTGATGAGGATTGTGAGATAGATTCCAACATTACGGCTGCTTTTGTTAAACAATTTAAAAAATCTTTTTTGAAAAAGAATCCTAATCTTTTGGAATCTACTCATACTCATAAATCCAAAGGCAAAGATAAACGCAAAATTAATTCTATAGCCAAGAAAGAGAAATGAAAGATACAAGGGTACTCTGAAAGAGCCCAATGCTATGAATGCCAATGATTTGGCCACTTTGCTTCAGAATGCCCCACTCGTTTGAAGAAGAAGAAAGCCCTCGCCATCACTTGGGATGATGAATCAGAATGTGATGAAGATGAAAGTGACAATGAAGATCACGGCGAAGAGGGACATATACAATTCCTTGCTTTCATGGTGGCTTCTGAAACTGAAGGATGAACAGAGTATCCGAAGAGCCGGGTTGAGAATACCACTAATAATGAATCCTCGGGAAGTGATGATGAAGAGCTTGAGCAAGCTTATGAAAAGTTGTATAAGGAATCTCTTAAGTTATCCAAATTGAATGACAAACTCACTATGAAACTCACAGCATGTGAAAGTGAGAATGTCAAACTAAAGGAGGAGATTTCTGAGGCCAGGCTTAATGCTCTCAAGATAGCTAATGATCGACAAGCTCTTTGTGCAAAACTCTTGACTTGTGAGACAGAGAGGAATGAGCTTCAGCAAATCTATGCAACATATGAAGAAAATATTGAAACTCTCAAAATGTCTCAAGTTGCTTTGGAAGAACTTATGATCAAGAAAGAGGAAGAACTCAAGTGTGCCATGGTTACCATTGGTCTTTGGAACAAAGGATCAAACACTTTGGACAATATCATTGGGTCTCAACAAATCTGTTCTGACAAGAGTGGCATTAGCTTTGGTGTTAAGAAAGAGCAAAAACAGAGTGCATCAACATCTCATGATACAAGAACTCAAGGAAAGGAAGAACAAAAAATTCAACATAAGGATGGACTTCTCAAACTTCCTAGAGTTGGTAATGTAAAAGAAAAGAAGGTACACCCTGTTTTTATTTGTCATCATTGTGGTATGCATGGTCGTATTCGCCCTTATTGTTATAAGTTGCATGGGAGAGTGTATTTGCTTAGACCTAAAAATAGGATGTTGGAAACCAAGTCGAGACGGGATCCCATTGAAAGCAAAGGGAACCACAACGTCAAGACACCATCCAAAAACCGTAATGCTCACAACTTTGTTTATACTAAAGCAGTTTGGGTGAGAAAACTTGACTTGTGTTAATTTCGTTTGTCATTTTAGTTTTTGGGTTTCGTTTTTTTTTTGTCATTACATGTGTGCTTGTTCATTTTTTTTTGTCTTGC